AGGTCTAATGGTCACAAACTGCTGGAAGACCATCTTAGACTGGACATAAGGAAAATATTCTTTACTGTCCGAGTCCACAGAATCTGGAATAGACTCCCCCCCAGAAGTGGTGCAAGCACCTACTCTGGATACCTTTAAGAAACACTTGGATGCTTATCTTGCTGGGATAATCTGACCTCAGCTGACTTCCTGCCCTTTGGGCCGGGCGCTGGACCCAATGATCTCGTGAGATCCCTTCCAGTCTGAATGTCTATGAAATCTATGCTGACGAGAGTCGCAGTTAACCCCTCAAAGCCACCATGCAGAAGTGGAGGCTGGCACTCTACCATGTCTCCTGGAGCCCCTTACAATGCAGAAGGATCCATGTTCTCAAGCAGCTGCCCACAGTGCAGTGAACCCAAAAAGCAGCTTAGGACTTTCCGGTGTGGGCCCCTCTCTCCAGCCCATTGCTGAAGGGCAGGTATAGAGGTGCTGGCCCCCAGAACTACCCATTGGGGAGCCCCAAGTCCCAGACTCCCTGGGCATGGGTAAAGCCACCCCAAGGGGGTGCTACCTACAGACTTTGTTTTATAGTGTATAGTATTTTAAAAATATAGTTAGTGTTTTCTTTTGGCTTTTTTTGTTGTTCTTTGTAATAAATTTGTGTTTTGTGTTTACACTGTATGGGGGGTGGGGGTTTGTCTATATGGGATGCCCCAGCAAATATAGTGTTCCCAGATTTCTGGGTGGGGGCTTGAGCCACTGGTATAATTTATAAGGTACTTTGAAATGTGAACCCAGCCCTTTTTGCTGCTGACCAATGCCTGGCAGAAGGGTTACACTTAGATCCAGTCTGTCTTTGCCTTTCTGAATGTCGGTACCTAGCCTAATAGTCACATTATTACATTAGTTCTTATTCAGTTCCAGGCATCTTTGTAAGACTGCTATTGAGAAGCACTGTGCCCCACCTGTGCTCACCAGAAGGGCAAAGTAGATAGTTGCCTATAGACCTGAGTTTAATGACACAGAAATGGTACAATAAGAAAGTTACAACTTCCAGTGTTTGAAAGGGGGATCTGAATAAGTGAGTAGTAAGAATTAGTTCTTAGCACCCCTGCATCTGAGTACACAGTTCCAATGTGTTGCTCACTTTTTGAAGATGAATTGTGTGGCAAGGGGTCACATCTCTTGAGGCAGGGAAATATATATTAATTTAAAAGCTCTGTTCCCATCACTACTGAGTGAATGTGAATGTTACTATGCGACTCTTTGATTTCATGGCATGAAACTAGAGTACTTGCCAAGGGTGAAATTGGACTCTGGAGCCACTCTGGCAGAGAGAGTTGATGCATTTGACACACTGTGAACTGCTGTCTGGCCCTACTCATGCCCTTCATGTTCATTGAAAAGAAGTGTTTCTGCAGGTGTCCTGTACATGGCATATAACTCAATTGACTTCACTCTTGATCTACAACAGAAGGGAAATCAAACCTTTGCCTCTTTAGCTTTGTCAACATTAGAAAGCTTCTCTTCTAGAAGTAATGTGGGTGCTTTGCATGCCTAGCCAGGGCTGTGATATTTTCTACTGGAGTCCTTTGAAAGCCTGAAGATCATTTTTTACTTCTGTAATCTTATTCCATATTAATACATTATTTAGAGATGGGCCCAAATCATGAAAAATGTATTTGATTATTCTTCAATTTTTAGCAATTTGGATTGGGTCAGGATCTACACTCCATGGCTGGCCTGTATCTTGATATGATGGACTAAACAAAAAGTCTAGGTGAAAAGACCATAAGATGCTGACGGGAAAAATTCTGAGACCCAAATGTTGTATCTCAAGCTAATCCTGCTGTTCAGCTAGTATCCAACTTATTTTTATTGGGTGAGAGAACTGCAAAGGGACACTGTTTTTCTTTTCTTATTTCTAATAACAATAATAATCTTAGGACCCACTTTGTCCGTATGTGTTTACCGCTCATTTGCTTTTCTCTCCTAGCACTGCCCCATTCACCTACATCTCTCTCTCTCTCTCTCTCTACCCCTGCCCCCTTCCCTTGTTTTTATATTCTAATTTCTCCTTCCTTGTACTCCGCTTTCTGCATATCCTTTCACAGCATCTGATGAAGCGAGTTCATGAAAGCTTGTGCTCTATATGTATCTTATTTAGTCAGTCTATAAAGGTGCATATCTGTTCAGCCTTCCTGTAGTAAATGTTGATGTGAGGAGAATTATAGGACTTCTATAGACAAAAGTGCTTTGCTGGATCAGAGTCTAGGCCAGGGGTGGGCAATTATTTTGGGCAGAGGGCCGCTTACTGAGTTTCGGCAAGCCATTGAGGGTCACATGACAGGCAGCCCAGGGCAGATTAATATTAATTTTCTAAATTTTTTAGGCACCCCGCGGGCCGGATAGTATGGCCTGGCGAGCCACATCTTGCTCCTGGGCCACATTTTGCCCACCCCTGAACTCTAAGCCCATGACTAATCCCAAACTTAAAGTTAAGCATAAGCTTATTTCTTTGCTGTATCAGTGCCTTTATGAGAATTAGAATGTGACAGATGTGGATACATGTTATGAATTGACTTGATGAATACTATACGTGAAGTGAAGTTACTGACTGTGGTTATTAACCTTCCCTTTATAAATGTATTGATCTCATTTAAGAGGTGACAATGAAAGGGAAGCAGGAAAACATAGTAGATAAACAATCTTTTGGCAGTCACTGAAGGCAAGCACATACTTCCAGCTCCAGGATGAAGTAACACAGCTGAGAACCAACAGATCCAGAGGCTATAAGTAATGTAAAAGCCTCTTTTTCAAGAGTGGAAGAGAGAGCGACTATCAGAGGTTGCTTAGGGGTCAAGCTAACAGACACAGTCCATACCAATCTGACAGTGGGGTAAAAATATTTTTAATTGACCCTGAGTAGAGTGTCAGGACCCTCTAGCCAGGAATCTCCCAGTTTTAGTTGCAGCAGAAGTATTGGTACTCCCCAGTCAAACTTCCCAGCCTTGGTTGCAGCCAGCACCCAGTGCTACTGAGAGAGGCAAACAAACTAAACCAAAAAAAACAAACCCGGAAACAAACGGGGGAGAAAATATTCTTTTCCAACCCAGGCAGCAACCAGCAAAACCGAGAAGCCCAGGAAATTCCTATAATGCTTTCTATGAACATAGCATAGGAATAGCTACTTTTAGTTCATCCCTGACCAATACTTAACCAGCTTCTTCTTGATCACCTCCAAATTCCCCAGGCAGTGTTCTCCACTGCCTCACTGTTCTAACAGTGAAGACGTTTTCCTGGATATTAAGTCTACACCTAGCTTGATGCAACTTCAAGCCATTGTTGGCTTTGCTAGTTCAAGGGCTGCTTTTTTGCAAGTGCCTTAAAAAACTTCTTGAGCAACATTTGTATCAGTAAATCAAAGTGCTCTTCCTTTATAAGCTCATCGAATTTATATGATAGTTATTATTAGTTACTTTCTTCCCTTTTTACTTGAACAACATACTTTTATCAACTTCCATGGGCAGATCCAAGGTTTTGTAAAGAGAGATTTGGGAGTAGTGCAGAAGGAGTGGCTGCACTTTCATTCCCAACTCCTCCCCCTTCCCCTAAGGGTGGAGAGACCACACCATAGAATAGCAGCCAGGGGCTTTTAAAATCCCTGAATCAGGTAACAATCCTATCCCCTCCCCCAACGCTTGACACCCCAGCCCTGAGAGTAGTGTACTAGAGGTATGTATTTTGTAAAGCCCAGTCTATACAGTGCTGAGAATTTACTGCAAGATGTTAAGTGACCTCAACTCCTACTTGCAGGTCAAGCCCTTAATTATCCCAGTAGTTTGTTTTTTTTACCACTGCAGGATTTGATGCTGATGTGAGTGCCTGGCAGCAGACAGTATCTGCCAGCATAGCAATTTACTCAAAGGGTACTAGTCTACATTAACAAAACACTTCAACTGGTTTTGTAAAAGTGAGCGTTGTGATCAGGAGGTTCTGCTGTCTCTTTGTAATGTCTCTGGCAGAGAGTGAAAATGTCAGTTTTCTTGTTCCCTTGGCTTCATGTTTTCCTCTGTAAATGTGCATACTTATGCCCATTGGCTTTTGCTGCTGCTTCTAATACATCACATGGACTGGCTGTCTTTCCATTACTTCTTGAGTAGGGTTGGAGTGTTGTTGAAACAGGCAAAAGTGAAGTAGGGGGATAACCAGAGAAATCACTTGATACTTAGCAGTTATGTAGTCTTCAAACTGTAAAATAGGTAGAATATTCACCCCAGTAGTGGCTGAATTTCAGTGACTCAGTGAACAGAGTTTAATCAACTGATTTGTTTATTATTTATAAGGTTTAATCAATGAATGTGTATAAGTGCTTGGATGAAAGTCTCTATATAAGTGAAGTCAATGGGGTTTTGTGTGAAGAAAAGCCATGTAAGAGCTTTGGAAAAATGAATACAATCCACTAGTTCTCAGTAGGTGCATCTGCACATGCTATCCGCATGCAGCAATAAACTCTGGTGCATATTGGACCACAGTTTATTGCTCCTGGGTACCACGTTTACATGTGTGCCTGGGACCACAGCACACTGAGCCAGATCAAAGCAGCCCTGGCTGGCAGGGGGCCCTGTGGGTCAGCCTGCCAGCCTGGGGCTACTCCAACCCGTCTCAATGTGTTATGGAGGGCCTGGCTGGTGCATGAGGGTGCTCCAGTGCAGGTGTAGCTGCTATGCAGCCCCCGCACTGAAACATCCTTGTGCCCCAGCCAGCTATGTCAGTGTCTACACATGAGCTGCTGTGGAGCAAAAAACTCCATAGCAGAGTATCACTTGTATTTACAAATACTACCCTGCTGCAAAGTTAATTAGTATCCTGTGGCCTAATAGGGCTACACATGAAGACATGAGATGTTTACTGCAGAGCTAATTAGGCAACTCGGCAATAAACATCTGGTGTAGCCATGTCCCCTGACTCCTCTCCATGATTCTTTAAGTAAAAACATACCTTTAATTTTTTTTCAGAAGGAAGTCTTTTATCCTGGAATCACACAGACCTACAAACCCGCTCTAAGTAGCTGTGAAGTACGCAAAATAAAATATGCTAACACTTTTTCCAGGACAAAGCTGTGTAGTCCTGGTTCATTCGAGTTAATTACCAGAGGAGCTATTAACAACTCTGTGTAAAGGGCTGTGCTGCTACTCTTTTGTTCCTGGTTTTGAGTCTGATCAATCAGAACAGCCTCAAATGAGATGTCTGTTTTATACCCTATTGTCCCCAAACCCTATATCCCCCTCCCCTGCTCTCTCTTCTATCTGCTGACTAAGGTGTATACCTGGAAATGGGTTGTAGCCTCTAATATCCATATCAGTTCTCAGAGGAGCTAGTCAACCGACATTACTCAGGGAATCCCCCAAATTGGATTTAAAATATTTGTTATGGGAGCATTACATGGCATCCAGTTACATAACCAGAGTGGAGATGAGAGAGGAAGCACTGCAATGAGAAGAAGCAGATAAAATTAAACTTTGAATATGAAGTAAAATTTCATGCATTGCAGGCCAACTTGTTCGGCAGGCTTGCCACAAATTAGCTCTGTAGCCTCCTCAAGTGACCATGTATTCCCCTTCCCCTGCCTGATCTGCTGCTCTGCTTTCTCCTTCCTACCTTGTCTGCTGCCCTTCCTGTCCCCTCTCAGATCTATCCCATGCCACACACAGAGGTTGCCCATGCCACTTGTGACACATGTGCTGTAGGTTGGCCACCCCGATTTAGTTAATCCAGTTTTCTATCGGCAGATACGATGGAGCTCTTTTGTTTAAGCATCCATGTATCATGACCAGATAGTTGTCAATACAAATCCTCCTCTGGACAAATATTAAATGGGTCTTTGTATTTGACCTAAGGCTAAAAGGAAACTGATAATCTAGATACAATTTAGCACTTAATTTCTGCAGGATTGTGTCTGTGGACCTGTTCAGCTTTAAACACTTAAGCAGATGATCTGTAGGGGTGTGCAAAGCGGGCACTATTAGATTTGGATTTGGGCCAAATCCAGGACAGTGATTCAATTCATTGATTAGATTCCACCAAATCCAAATCTGAAGATTTGATGCTGATTTGGAGAATCAGCGATTCAGACAGACATCTTTAAATGTTTTTTCTACATACCTCAAGGTTCCAGTGTGGCTTGTGTGGTGGGGGGGGGGGGGGGGGCCCCGGGGTTGTGGGGGGGGGGGGGGGGGCCTCCATGTGCTTAGTGGCGAACCCAGAAGTGGACCAGAAATACTTCTGATCCACTTCTGAGTCCACCGGGTAGCGCACAGGGGGACCCTTGGCACCCTCTGGCTCAGCGATTGGCCACAGAAAGACCTTGGGTGCCCCCCCGGACCCAGGCACCAGTTGCTGAGCCAGGGAAGTGTGAGGAGCCCTGCTACCGCATGCTCCCCAGTGGACCCAGAAGTGGCCCGGAAGTGCTTCTGGTCCACTTCTGGGTCTGCTGCCGGGCATGCTGGGGGACCCACCTCCCCGTGCTCCTGTGGGATGCTCCATGCACGTCTGTGGGATGCTCCATGCACCCCAGCATCGCAGCATTCATGAGCCCCCTGCTACCTAGAGGTATGTAGAGAAAACATTTAAAGCTGTGTCTATGTCCGAATCGCCAAATCTTTCCAAATCAATTCAGAGGGTTCCAATTCGATTTGGAGAGATTAAAGGGTCCTTTGATTCGATTCAGATTTGGAGATTCAGCCACCGAATCAGGTTGAATCTCCACCGAATCGAATCAGAGACCAAAACTTCACACAGTCCTAATGATCTGTTCAGACTATCAGAAGCACCATACAGTACAGTGGCAGATTTATTTTAATCTGAATTGCTTTTCCCCTTGAATAATCACTTAAAAGAAAATGAAAATATATGCTAATTAAGCACTAGGGGGCAATGTTTCATATAGTTATTGCTTGCTGTGGATTAATACTTGTAGTTAACCCTGAGTTTCCTGACACTGACACACTTTAATATTGGTATCGAACAATTTATTTCTCTGGCTGCTCTACTTCATCCAAGAGCAAGAAGTAGCAGTTCTTTATAAGACATTTGTCTTCCAAAAATGCTTTCAGTTCCTAACACAAAACTGATGATTACTAGGGTATTTAGGCTTTAGAATTTTCGTATAACAAAACATCTACCTTCTTTCTGCTGGTGATGCTAAACTCCAAGGTTTCGTTTCTTGTTTGCAAATTCCCAGGCTTATTTATTCCAACAGTCAATGATTTTTTTTTTTTAAAACAACCTTCGTCTCTTTACTACATATATACAAGCCAAGATGAATAGCTTTTCACTGTCTAGACTTACTGGACCAGACATAGGGCCCACTCCTACAGTGCATAGTACCCTCAATTCTAATTGGAATCAATGGGAGTTGAAGATGCTTTATGTGCCTCACCAAATTGGTTCCTTAGGACTGAAGCCAGCATGCATAAATGGACAGAATCTCACTCCCAATGGGCATTTATACACATGCTCGAGGAGTGGGGGAGGGGTGATTTAATTAGAGCGGCTCTAATTAAAGCACCCAGAGCATCTCATGTATTAGCATCCCCACACTTAAAAATGGTGGCAGGGTTGCTTTAATTAAGCTTTTTCAATGAGTTTTACTTAAAGTGCCCCTACTGCCATTTTTCAGCTCGGGAATGCTTATACATGAGTCTGCTGGAGCACAGTAATTACCAACCTCCAGCAGATTTGATTAATCAAGCCTGCTCCGATGCACTGTAATTACAGTGCATCAGAGCAGCCCCACTGCTTGTGCCCCAATGCCTTTTCTCCTTTACTGGGGATGAATTAGATCCTTATCCTAGGAAAAAAATATTTTCATTTTGGAAATATCACTTTGTAGCAGAAAGCCCCCTTTTCCTCTTGCCTGCAGTTGCTCTCCCCTCCTTGGATATGTTTTTCCTCTTCTACCTTTTCTTCCTTCCTCTTTCTTGTACTTTAAGATAAGGAATTGTGTTTTAAAATTTGTATGTGTGCATTTTATATCTCCCCTTGTATTTTGGTATTTTTATCTATTTGTGTGCCATGGCATTTGTAGCTTATATTTTATGCTCCTCACCTTTCAACTATAAATGTGTTTAGTAACAATGTTAACAAGGGCAGGAGTCAAACTGCCGCTTCCCTGTATCAGGCGGGCCCCTGAAAGAGCGAGTGAATCAGTGATTGAATGTGTAACACAGT